CCGACCTGCTTTCAAGTTAGTTGTCCCTTTCCATTGATTACACGTATCTACTTTTCTTTTCTGAGACAGTCTCACTGTGTAGTTTAGGCTGGCGTTAGACTCACTATGGTAGCCCAGGATGGCCTCAAACTCCCGGCTATCCTCCTGCCTCAGCCTTACAAGCCCTGGGATTGCAGGCGTGTGCCACTATGCCTGGCAGCATCTACCTACTTTTGAAATATAAGTAAAAGGAAGCATTTCACTTATAACGGGAGTGCAGGCCACACAGGGAAACCAGCCGTCTGCATTGAGGGCTTTCACGGTGCTTCTCCGACAGACAGCCCGAGGTGTTGTGTACAGGCAGCTTACAGCTTCGCCTCAAAGCAGCGTGCCCCAGCCTCCTGAGTGGAAACCTGGAGTTCTTTTCGCTCTCTCCCTCCTCTATGTTGAATCGATTACAGAGCCCGATGATTTTACCTCCTAAGCATTTTTTGGCAGACTCAGGTTGTGCATTAGCCAGACCCAGTTCCTGTTTGCCTGGACTCTCAGCTGGACTACGTTTTCCAGCCTCCCTCAGGATAGGTGGGGCCCATGCCTCTGCCTTGGGTGCCAGGCATGCACTGGCCCTTCCAGACCTGGCTCCCAACCTCCTGTTTCCTCCTCTGCAGAGACCTAGCAGGGGTCTCCCAGGCCCTAGAGGATGGTGGAACTCCAACCTGGACGCTCCTTATGTGGGTGCAGAGCCAAGCCCTCCTCCCCACCCCAGGCCCATCACCCTGGCCTGGGGTAGGGTTAGGAAACAAACTCTTAATGTGTCGTACCACTCTGATTTGAGATTGTTTCCTACAACAACTGCAGCTACTGACCTTAATTTATCTTTTCATTCTTTTCCACACCTAATGTGCCTATTACTGATTTTATAAAGAGAGGCTGTGTTTCCCCAAGCTTTATCTGCACCTTCATTCTTGCCCCTCACAATTTTAGCTGTTCAGGCAGAGTGGGTTTCTGTATTAGTCAGCTTTCCCATTGCTGAACATAATACCCTACCCCCACAACTTAGAGAAGTTTACCTAGGCTCATGGTTTCAAGGGATTTAGTCCATGGTTGGCGGAAATATCATAGCAGAGGGGTATGGTAGAGCAAAGTAGCTTAGCTCATGGTGGTTGGGAAGCAAAGCAGAGGAACAGTGCGAGAGAGGAAGGGACAGGGACCAGCTGAAAACCTGAAAGCCTCATCTCCATGACCTACCTAGACACCAAACCTCTCCAGTGAGGGCGAACCTGTGACTCATGTGCCAGCAGCGGCCTGTTTGTTATCACTGAAAACCCTAAAAGGTTTGCCATCACTCCTTTAGGCAGATCCCAAAACCAGTCAAGTTGACATTCTGCCCTAACCACCACAATTTCTCGAGACACACCCCTTGGTGTAAATCTTTAAACCAAGCCCCCACACATCTCTGTGTTTTCTACTCTGACACTGTGTCGGTCCCTGTGTGTTCACCTGACACATGGCAGGGACGCAACACCCCCAGTCCTGATGATGAAAAGTGTCTCCAGACATTGCCAAGCTCCCCACGAAGACACGCATGACTGTTAATCATGGTATGTTAGTCAACTCGAATGGGTTAGGAGCCACCTAGAAGATTCGTGCAGCACAGTTCTGGGTGTGTCTGTGGATGACGGACATGCAGGCCAGCGAACTGGCAGAAGACCCACCCCAGATGTGGGTGGTTCCAACCAATAGGCTCGTAGTTTGGATGGAATGAAAAGGGAGAGAAGAAGGAAGTGTCGCGTTCTGGAAGAGCTCCAGTCTTCACCATTGCCCTTGGCCACTGGCCTCCAGTTTCTTCAGCCTGACAGTGCAGACTCACACAGGCAACTGTACAGTGAGCTTCAGGCCTTTGGCCTTGGGCTGGTGCTGCACACTTGGTTCCCTTGTCCTGTGGCTTCCATCTTCTTGACTAAGCAGCCGCTGTATCTTCTAGCTCTCCAGTGCACAGAAGGCCATGGTGGGTTCTCCTGCTTCTGATCCTGTGATCCTGTCTAGTAAACCCTTGCACGATTATACATGTTTTCTATCAATTCTGTTCCTCTAGAGAACCCTAACTAACACAGCACAGTCATCCTCTATTGTGAATCCCTGCTCTGGGGAGTAATAGAGCAGGAAGATAGGAAGCTACTTGACGACCTGGACAAGAAATCAGAGGGCCATGTTATCCTGGTGGGATCACTCTGTTCAAGGTTGACCAGAACACTGGATTTGGCAAAACAGACTCCAGCAAAACTCACGGGCACCACATTCAGAAGAGACTGGAGTGGCAGGCCTCGGGCCTCATGATGCCCACGTCTGGTTTCCTCTTTGCTAATAGACCCCAGATTTTCAACATGAACACATGTCTATGCTGCAGGCAGCAGTGGCTCATGACAGTCTAGCAGTGAGGGGGCCTTAGAACAAGTTCTTCTCAACCAGATGCAAGGAGAAATCTAGTGTGGGAGTTTCCTGGTAAGATGGTCACACAGAGCAGACATATCCTGTTGTCTCCTCCTGCCTTGAGTGTGGACCTGGGGACCGAAGCCAGGGATTCCCACACAGGTCAGCCTGGGTGTGCTGGAGTGCTGGGCCATCGTGCAAGCCCTCTGTCCATCGATGTCTTATAACTGGAGCAAAGTGAGCTCGTTTCTGCTGACACCTGTTTCTGTAGTAGGCTGAGCAGTGTCCCCCCAGATTCACATTCACCCAGAATCTCAGAACATGAACATGATCTGTTTGGAAATGCAGTCTCTGCAGATGTAATTAGTTAATGACCCTGAGATGAACGCATCCGGGAGTTAGGATGTGCCCTAAATCTAACGACTGTTCTCCTCGAGAGGAGAGGACACAGAGAGACACACGGGGAGCGGGATGTGAGGAGAGTGGAGAGACTGGGAAAGCACAGCCCCAGGAGGTCCCCGCCCAGTGTCCCACAGCCTCTGCAGTGCAATCGCAGCTGCTTCCATCAGAAGGCCGAGGCGATTTCCACAGCCCGGGGCTCTTGTCAAGGCCTTGCCTCTCACTTTGGCTCAGAGAATGGTGAAGAACAGACGGCACACCAGTTTTGGGCCTATGCAGGTTGCTTGCTCTTGAAACCCTGTTCGGCCACCCTGAGGACAAACTGGGGTTGGCCCATAGGCCAGTGGATGCTGATGCCCCAGCTGCCAGCCATCCATGGGAGGGTGGCCAAGGCAGCCTGCCTGCAGCCAACCCACCTGCAGCAGGATTGGCATGTCTGACCCTGAGCCACAGAAACATTTATTTAAGCCCTGGAGGCTGGGGGAGGCTTGTGACCAGCAGTAGCTGACTAACATATGTACACTTTGAGTTTTGCAGTTATATTATACTACCTATTCAGCACCTGTGAACAATTGAGTTTGGGAAGCCTGGTTAGGTGGAGGCATTTGAACCTCACTGTGCTTAAGAAGTTCTCAGGGGATTTGCTTAAACTGGAGATGGCTGGGCTTATTCCTAGAGCTTCAGTACGGGGCTGGGTGAGGGCCAGGCGTTCCCAATGTGGCCAGCATTGCTGATCCTGGCGTGGGTGCAGTACACTTTGTAAACTATCTTTTTATGGGAACAAATTATGGAAACCATAGTCTAATCTCTAACATTATCCCTCCTCCAATATCGAGAGAGAGAGAGAGAGAGAGAGAGAGAGAGAGAGAGAGAGAGAGAGAGAGAAAGGGAGAGAGAGAGAAAGGGAGAGAGAGGAGCTACAAAGGAAAGTGCTAGGCTTCCCTGGGGAAAATACTAGGCAGAGAAAGACCTTTCTTGCCCAGGGTCTCCAAGACCACATTTTACTCTCAGTATTATTTCTTGATTTGCATTAAGAAATATATTGCATCTAATTTTTAAATAACAAAACCCTGGTTCTAATTACAAAATGCTGGTGGCTGATGCATCAAGTGAAGGTTCAGAGAAAGGCAACCAGCAAAGACTGGGCCTGAGCCCACAGGAAAGGTCAAGGGTTGGAGAAGTCAGCAGTGCAACCTGTGTTATGGAGCCTACACGCTGGCCAGGGGTGGCATCCCGGCCACGCCTGTGGGCCAATCAGCTGTTAGCCACATCGTTCTGGAGCATCACAAGGTGGAGAAAAGGACACAGACTCCTCTCCTGGGGGACTTTCTGAGTGGCAGGGGAAACACAGATGATAAATATAGGAGGCCGTAGGGGTGCAGTTGTGTCCCTAAAAGATGGCTGTGAGTGGGACCTTATTTGGAAACAGTCTTTGGAGGTGTTCCCCAGTCCGGATGCTGTCATCAGGCTGTGTCCTCATCCAACATGACTGGTGTCTGGGCACAGGAGGGCACTGTGTGTGTGGCGTCAGGAACAGAGGCCCAGGGATGTGTCTGGAAGCCAAGGGCTGCCATGGTTTGCTGTCAACTCCAGAAGCTAAGAGGAAAGTATGGACCTGAGCAGTGGTGGCCAACCCATGGAAGGAGAATGGGATGTGGGTAACAGAGTTTATAGTTAAGCAGAGCCACTTGGAAGCCACCAACATGTGAGAAAGAGGAGGGAAGCAGCCATGTGGGTGTCCAGGGAAGGAGCACATCATGCAGCTATGGCAGCATGTGCTAAGGCCCTGGGGCAGTGGTGTGCCTGCCATGCTTGTGGAGAACAGCAGGGAGGAGGAAGGTGACAGCACAGGGACTTGCAGGTCACAGTGAAGCTGTTGTTATTTTGCCAAGAAAGCCAGCCACTGGAGATTCTGAGCAAAGGCTGGTGTGATCTGATTTTTATAGTCTTACTTTTTCTATTTTTAAGGATCACTCAGGCTGCTGAGTGGGGTAAATATAGAAGGGCAAAATACCTGCATGTGGGAAACCAGCTGGTAGGCACTGTTTTAAGACAAGCTAGGAGTGCAGAGTGGAGAGGGTAGCATTTCGGCTTGGGGTGTTTCTGGCAGAGCAGCCAGGTATGACTTCAAGAGTTTTGGCTTGAACCATTGGAGCAAAGAGTTCCAGAGTAATGACTGCTTAAGTTGTCTGTGATTTTCCATAGTTTATTGAACACACAAGTTCTGATCCTTGGTCATAATTTCCACACGTACAATATACAGGTGCTAGAAAGTCTGTCCCCAGACGTCTGATTTTTTGTTAACATTGCTTGCCCAGAGGCCTTGGCATGAGCTGCGTGCATTTTCATGCCTGTGCAGTACTCGAAGTGTCAGGTACTGAGTCGCGTCTGCTCATCTGAGGTGTAGACCAGGAGGACAGCTTTTAAAATACTCTTTGCTCTGTTCTGCACAAAAAGAACAGGGTCCAGCACTGGGGCCTGAGGCTGGGCACAGACAAGCTGCAGGCAGGGCAAATGCACACAGGGATGCCGCATCTGCCCATGTGGTCAGCACGTTTGGGCCCTGTGGGTCTTGCAGCCGCTGGTCCTCCGGGGCAGGGGCTGCCTGACGGTCGTGGGGAGGCAGAACTGGGGCCTGAACTCAGAAGCTCTCCTTGATTTTGCCCAAAAGAGGAAACAGAAGGCCCGCCCAAAGAAGATTCCGCCATGTCACTGTCCTGAAGTGTTACTGGCCGGCCACTTAGGATTATACGCTTAGGTTCCTTTGCCTGCGGCTGACCAGATTGAAGGCGGCCAGGTATTTTGGTGAAAAGAGGAAAAAAGATTTTTTGCCAAGCTATCTCTAAGGAGACAGTAGGGCCCATATGCCTCAAACCACCATCTCCTTGTTCAGCTGGGTAAGGGTCCTTTATCCTAAGGAATAGCAGGGTGGGCGACACAGGGAGACATTTTGGATGTGCGCACTTGCTTTATCACTTCCGGTCATCTTGGTTGGTTCCTCTTTCTTGTGGAAAGGAACTCAGCCTCCCGCCTCCTGTGGGATCTGCATATTCTGTCCCTTCTTTGGGCTGAAGAGAGGCTGGGGTGCTGCTTATGTGCTGAGTAGGAGGGATTATGGAGAACTTGATTATCTCTACAAGAAACAAAAGCTAACTTTAAGGCTCCATTTTGCAGTGGTAGTTTCAATTTCCCCCTTGCTTATTTCTGCCCTCAGTCTTGAGCGCCCTGAGGTGCCACATCATCAGGCTGGCTGTCCCACCTTGGACTGGCACATAGAGTCCATCAAAGGTAGCTGAAGCACAAGCAAAGGAAAGCTGGATGCTTGAGCATCAAAAAGCATCACCAAACATTGAAGTCAAATACAAACCAAAGCCAAAGCCGAGAGAGAGGCAACCTTTACACTCGCCAGAAGAAGGGCCTTTCTGCTTGTAGACAATCGTGCATGAGATCCCCTTTCACAACCTCTGCAGCTCTACTGATTTGGGGGCGTGGGGGGCTGACACACAGGTGACTCTTTGGTGCTCACAGCTCTCTCCTCTTCCTCTTTTCTGAAGCCTTTGCAAATTAACCGCCTGTGCCTTGTCCCTGGGTGCCAGGCAGCCTTCTCAGGTGATGGTGAGTCAGAACATGGCCCATGTTGGAGGGGCTTCAACAGGGGATTGGGGTTAGTGTCATAAGCCCTGGTTGCCACATTTGAGCAATATCAAAGATTGGAACAAGTGGCTGTTTATCTAGACCAACAGTGAACCTGCTCGCCAGACTCTATCACTGAAAGGTCAACAGGGTTCGCCATCATTGAACTGGAGTCACTGAGAAGCTTAGTCCTGTCCATTCTGTAGTCAGCATCCTAAAACATTTGAAGTTTGTTTGTTTTTTTGGGACAGGGTCGAGCTATGTAGCTCAGGCTTGCCTTGAACTCATTATGTAGTTCAGGCTGGCCTGAATTTATGGCAATCTGCCTCAGCCTTGAAGCAATCTGCCTCAGCCCCCCAAGTGCTGGGACTGCAGGAGTACACCACCACATCTGGCAAAAGATTCAAACTTTGAGTTACAAAGCTTACAGGCAAACCTAAAACAAGCCAATAAGAGCAAAGTAAATCCAGTCTGTATAGTAGACTTAAACTAAAAGAAAGCCAGTATTTCCATGAAATGAGCTCAGTTCTGCCAGAAAGATATAGCAAGCACACATTCGTGGGTCCCCTATTCCTGTAAACCAGTGTGAGTTACCATTTGAAGAAAGCACACAACTCACTAATGGCCAACACTAAGAAGTGTAGTTTACTGACACCTTTGAGATTTCTTAGACGCACACAGAACTGTAAACATTTCTGAATGCAGTGCACAAAAATCATGTTTTATCATTTTACCAGCTAAGAACACACATGTTTGAGCAAGGATGTCTCTTATCTACCAAGAGGAACACGGCTTTTGTTAGTTAATAAGACTACAAGCAATGCACAAGGTAATAATTCTGCAGAACAATTTATCTTTACAGTATACTAAGATACTAATCGGGACTGCATTGTACCAGGATAATTACATTTTAAGTAAGGAAAATTATATAATAGTAGTTTATGTAACTAGAATTGTAAGACAAAACTTTAGACAGATATTCAATAAAAATGAACTTCCTAAGAGTTAAATTTCCTAAACATGTAATCATAACAAGTCAGGAGACAACATAAGAAATTATTTTGACAAATTTAAAACCTCCTTTTAAAAAAGTTTTGCTATAAATTTTACTAAGAACAGATCAGTAGCCTAAGTCTTATTGTTTTAAACAAAGAGACTAATATTACCTCTATGTATTACATTTTAGTTCTTTTAAAAATATTTTTCTTAGAATAAACTAATTAGAATCTAATTAGAAATGTTCTACTCAAAAGTTATTCTGTTAACATATATGATTAATTTACAAAAGACATACCTTTATTACAAAAGCATGCCACCCCCGTATAAGTTACCAGTAGTTTTAAAACTTGTGTTAAAACTCATCTTTGTGTCCCATACTGTGTCATATATAGACATAAGCACTGTACATCTAGAAAAGAACATATAACATACTTGGCATGGGAAAACACCAAAATCTTTGTTTCTGACCCTTACAAGGTTTTCTGTAAAAGCAAAGTGATTTAAAAAACTAATTTTAAGTACTTAATTGAAGCAACGATGAAACAATAAAAAAATAGCAGTTTATCTATGACAAAGAAGCAAGCACGCATTTTTGCATCTTTTAACACTGTTAGCGTTAGGCAGCATAGACAAACCCACTAACAGACCAGGTAAATCACAGTAACTCTTGTGTGACTTTTTTTTTTTTGGTACCAGAGATCGAACTCGGGTCCTTACGCTTGCAAGGCAAGCGGCAGAACCACTAACCCAAATCCCCACCCCAAATCACAGTAACTCTTGACAGCAAAGCAATTTTTCTTAAGGCCAACTCTTACTTTAGGGTATCTTAAAATGACAAACAGATACAACTGTCAATCACCGAGATTTACCATTTAAAGCTCATTTTTAACTAAGCCTATAGTTTGACATAAGTTACTATTTTTAGCAACTTATTGTCTGGCTAGAATAGTTACTTAAACTTATTAAAGGATTAGACATCTTTTGATCTTATATCAGTGTTGCACACACATATATATATATATCAACAATCTATGTATCACAATAGATCCAAATGCACCATTTACAAATTTTAAGAAGCAAAGAATACATGAATTTATACTTAGAAAATGTCTTTAATATTTTAGCTTAACTATGAATAACTCAGATGTTTTATTTAAATATCTCTCTAAGTTAATTTTTACTAATTACCTCTAAATTGTACATTTGCAAAACACAAATTAACGCCTCCAAACAATTTTTTGTTGAGGAAAAACAACTCTCAAAAGTTGTAGTCAATACCTGGGAATTGTATCTACACGTGCTACAACAGAATGCTACTTTAAAATCTTTCAGAGGTTTTCTGAGGAGTTTGAATTTGAATATTTACAATGACGCCAGTGAATTATTTTCTAACCACATTCTCATGTCACCAAAAGCAATCTATCCTGGATAATCAAGATGTCCATTTGTGAATCCACTTGGAAGACTATAACAGAAACTTTACTAGTCATGGGCATTAAGATGGCCAGGCTCAGAAGATCTAGAAAGATCCGCAAACCACAGTGGGACATGGCGTCACATCAGTGTCTCCTAGTTTGTCATTCCAGAGCTGTGGAAGTTATTACCCATGTGAACATGGACCCAGCTATTTTACAAATTTAAGAAGCAGCACAGCATAGCTGGACTGTGTACACTCAGACACAAGTTAATCTGATAAGACGAAGTGTCCATTCCTTCTCATAGACTTAGTGTGGAAGCTTTCAGCTGGAACAGGCATTCTTGCTAGAAACCATTGCTCTTTGAATCAATGTCTAGTAAAACACTGCCTCCTAGGACCTTTCTACTACTAGAAGCAGCCTTTATAGAAACAAATGCTACCTAACATTTCCCGAGAAGCTAAACAATTTAAACTTTTAAATAAAAAAGCCCAGCCGTACTATATTAATATGTGTGTCACATTTTCTCAGTGTGTAACTGACTTTTGATCCCCAAGCATCTTTAAGATCTTAACAAACTCAAAAATGTTTATTACACAGTAAATCCCTCACTTAAAAACATTCAAGTTGTGAACTTTCCCAGATTAGAAAGGACTTCACATTATGAAAATCTGTGAATGCGGACAAATCTTGGCAGTAGCTCCCATGCCTTCGGGACACTGGCACAGCCGTGCTGCTGGGTGCGCACTGTCCGGTGCGACAGTGCTCAGTGATACAGTGCTCAGTCAGAGCCCGGGACGTCTGGAAGCAGGAGGAAAAGCAGTGGGGACAGGGAGGGGACTGCTAGGAGGCACAAAGCAATCTGCACCGCCTATTTGTGTCAAAGGTGTGTGAGACTCGCTTTGTCGGACTTAAGAATGAATCCAACTGGGGAACGTTCTCCTGGAATGGAACTCATTCGTAAATTGAAAACTTACCGTATTCAATTTATGCTCTTTGATCTTTTTTATAACCTTCGTAAAACTGAAATTTATCTGTAAGTTGAGAACGTAAGATACAATTCTTATTGGCTAACACAGGCGAAATGCATGTTAACAGTTTTGAGGACACCTTTGTTACATCTTTCAAGACATTTCATTAAGTCATGTGACCAAAAAGGCATTTGGGTTTATACTTACTTAATTATTGAGTGTTTTTATTTTTAGATTAATCTGGTACTATCTAAATGATATACAATATTATATGCTATACACACACATGCACCGACACACACACACACACACACACACACACACAAAGACTTAAATTTATCATTTACCAGCTTTTAAAAATGTACACAATGGCATGATTTTTTTATAGTCCTAAACAATACCCAATCCTAAGTGTGCATGTCTGAAGGTAGGATTCCTGGTTGTAGCAAGGTGAGAGATACACATCTTCTTGCCCAGTTAATCTGAGTTTGAATTTCTTGCAGGCTTTTTCTTTTTTCTGCCTTAACTTATTATAGGTTTTAATCAACTTAAAAGCTTCTGCCCCAGATTTTAAGATATTTTTCATTGTGTTAAAATTTAGACATAGTTGGTCAGAAGTTTATATATCTCATCCTGGCATTATTGCTCAAGACCTCCAATATGGAAAAACAAAACAAAACAAAAACCAGTTTCAGAACAATATTCCCCACTAAAAAAAAACAGACAAGCCATCTGTAGACAAACTGCTTCATTTTTCTAAACAACGGAAGTGGCAGGAGACAAAAATCAAATTTCAGTAAACAAGCTATGACAAATATTTTGAAACATAACCAGTACAAAATGAATCAAAGACTGCAAGGAGGGGAAATTTAAACCATTAGCAAAGTGACTGTGTGGTTAATGGATACAGAGGGCTCTTATTTGTGCTTCTTACTAATCCAGAAAAGGGCATGGAAAGCAGCTATGGACATTTTCCTGACCAAAGCTACTCCAAAGAACCTTCTCAAGGACAGTTGTGGGAATCAGAGTGCATCTTCAGCTATACAGAGCACAGTGTATCACAATAAAAGCACTGCTATCTAAGTCACAAGCAGCTAAAACTTTGTAGGGAGCTGCAAAGTAGGACATGAACTTTTATTCCTGGACAATTTACAACAGAGCTGCCTGAACACACCACCAGTGTCTCTATTCTTAAAATCTCTTATTCCAAACTTTTTTGTTGACAAATAGTTCAAGAACCTTGAACTCTATACTGATTCACAAACAAGTCTCAGAATGGCTTGAAGCCCAAATGGCTTACATAACTCTAGAAAGTACTGAAACCCTGCTGCCTGTCCTAGAATAAAGGTGGTTATAAAAAGTGAAAGATAGAAGAAACACAAGCAAAGGAAAGCAAACCAAAACAAATGAGTACTCCAAACCAACAAAACAAATGCTTGGAAATTTTTTCCTACCCAGAATTTCTTCTCACACCAATCAGTGTCCCAAAAATGACCTGGAATGGGTACAAATGCCCACAAACGGTGAAGGAGCTTGCCTCACCCGAAATGGCACCTATGGTAAGTCCAAAATGGTGAAAGTCTTTACCCCACCCAAATGAACAACCTAAAAAGACCCAAATGGTGGAGGCAGTAGATCCCTGGAGTGCACTTTCCAGTAGAAAACCAAGCAGAGCTCTTCAGTTCTCCAAATATCCTTTTTTCTTTTACCAACAAAAGTGTTTATAGGAAGCTAATACCATGAACAGAAAAGGAAGGAGACTCCCAGATACGGTACGGGAGACTCCGCAGTAGGTTCCAGTCTCCTGCTCAGTGTACGACACAGGGCTGAAGACTCAAAGACAGAATTAAAGAAACAGAGAAATGGGGAGCCAGAAAGGCTAGTGCTGGGCCACCAGCAAAGGCCCTGGTCAGTCCAAGCCACTGATTTTTATTGGTAATCAAATTGGGGTAAAGGGGAACTACATGTGAGGACATGTAGTCATGCAGTTGCTATGAATACTAATGCGGGTAAGGCTTCTAAAGGAAAGACAAAGCATTCTCGAATTAGGACAGAACAGACAAAATACAGGGTTGTAATCAGAACCTTGTCCTTCCAGTTAAGAAGGTTTTAGTTGTGGGAATGGAATTTGGGTGGGAGTTACTCCAACCTTGGTACTATGTTATCTCATATTGAGCCCCACAGCCTCACAGGCCATTTCTCTGTTCTCTGGTGTGGCAGTCAGCAGGAAGGTCATGCTGACCTGCGCACTACTGCAGTGCTTATGAGGTGGTTCTCTGAGTCACGTAAGCTTCAGTCAGACTCACTTCTTAAAATGAACCAACCGTGGGGCCGGGGATTTAGCTCAGTGGTTCCACCGCCTGCCTCCCAAGCGCAAGGTCCTGAGTTCAATCCCCAGTACCAAAAATTAAAAAAAAAAATTGAGCCAACTGTGGGGTTAACTCTTTACAGCTTGCACTGCTTACAGCCTGCTGTGGACATAATCAATAGGGCGGTCCCCTACACCAGATAAAAAAGTGTCCCTGGCAGCTGCTGGTATTATAGACAGATAAGTTAGGTAAAAATAGTATAGGCAGTCAGGGAGTCAAGGGAGTCAAGTCACTCAAGGGAGTCAGTGCAGAAGATAACACATTACAATTATGGCTAGATGTGCCATCTGTTGAAGGCCAGGCCTAAATGCCTCCCTGAGGGATAAGCAATAATTTGAAAATTATACTATAATTGATATCATCTGGTCCAATAAAGTCTAGATAGACATTAGTCACCCATGTAGGTGACTAGGTTCTCCTGATTCATGTCTTCCTAAAAAGGTCTTGTTCTTTCCACGTACACTTGCTGCGTGAACTGCTTCCCCATTAGATCAACATTACCTAAGCAGCTATACTTGTAATCTTATTGTTGATCATAGCTTTGACCTACATTGTACCCGCCTCGTGATTTTGCTCTATAAAACTTCCTTTAAGAAGTGGGGTCCACGGCAACCCACTTTCGGGTCCCCTCCTACTCAGGAGCTCTCTCAATAAATTTTTCCTACTCTTAACCTTTGTTGCTCCTTACAATTCATTCTTCGATTTTGGGGAACAAGAACTCGGTATATCTGACATCTCGCAGGTTGGGAGTTGTATTATTTCCCATATCACAGGGACGTCCCTGGAGTCCTGACCATGGATTCAGCTCGCTGTGAGAGATGTCAGTACATTTTCCCCAGCGCCTGCTAGGATGAATGGTTCTCAGGTGGCCGGATTTACTTTCTGGCTGACTCGCCAAAACTATTACCTGCCTCTTAGGTTCATTTGCTTGCTGCTGACCAAATCAGAGGCCATATATTTTGGTTAAAAGGGCAAAAAGATCCATACAAAGCTAGCTCTGAGGTGCTGGAAGAGCCTGTTTGTTTCAAATCACCACCTCGCCTGGTACTGACTGGGCAGGGGTGTAAAAAATGGGGCGTGTGGAGGAAGCACAGAATAAAAGGGCAGGTCTCCAGGTTTGCTTTGTCATTTCCAGCCACCTTAAGCTCACTGACCCTTCTCTCGTGGAAAGGAAACTGGGCTCCATCCTCCTGGGGCTGCCATCTGCACACTCTGTCACTTCTTGGGCTGAGGCGAGCCAGAGGGGCAGTTGGTTATAATGAGCAGCAAGACGAAGTCTGGAGAAACTGCTTATCTCTACAAGACAAAGAAATTAACTTTGCAAGTTCTCTTTCGCAGTGCTGGTTGCAGTTCCTTCCCTGAAGCCCAGCCTCGAGAACTCTGGGAGAGGAACCACCACACAGCACCCGCGGCCTGCATTGGGACGCGGGGAACTTCCATTGGCGACAGCAGGAGTTATGCGCACGCGCGGCGAGGTGAGGCAGCCGCCAGGACTCCGGCGCGCATGTGCGCACGTCCAGCCTGGGCGCCGCGGCGTCCCCTCCGCGCAGCCCAGCCCGGGTCTGGAATGGTCGCCGCTGCCTCTCTTCGTCCCGCCCAGTCGCGCCGCTTTCCGAGCAGCACGGCGCGCAGGCGCGGTAACCAAGGCGGCGCTGTCTAGTGAGGATTTGAAATCGGCCGCGCGTGCGTACTGCGCCGTGGCCCGCGAGGGAGGCCGCGCTCCCCGCCGACGCGCGGTCCCGCAGCTCCCGCCCCTGACTGGAGCGGAGGAGGCGGCGCCCTCCGCCCGCGCGCCCCGCCGCCTCCGCCGCCGCCGCCGGAGAGAGCTTGGAGCGAGCGGCACGAGCGGCACGGGCGCCCCTGACTGGAGCGGCGCAACGCCCCCGCCGCCCCCGCCGCGCCCGCCGCCTCCG